TGTAGAGTTGGTTTGAACTGCAAGATCAGTGGTTCAAGCTTACCAGAAGCTCCTTGAAAACCCTATACAGGGTCGCTATGGGTCAGAATCCACTCGGCACTAAACAACAACAACAAAAGCATCAGTAACACATTATCTGAGATACCAGAGTGCTCCATTGGTCAGATAAGAGATGTGCTAAATTGTAAGATCTTTTGAACAATAAGAAAAGAAAACTGAAGGGAAAACTGCAATTTTTACCCACAAGACACTTAAGTGAGATGAAGTAAAAATATTTACAACGGAAGAAAATCAAGAAAATTTGAAGAGGCTGATATCTAATAATGAAGATAAAACTGGAGAACTAGGAAGGAAAAGGAGAACTGGGGAAAGGGTTAGGAAAACTAGGCATAAAGTTCCACAGGGACCTGGGCATGGGGCTTGGAAACACTTAGAGAAGCTTCTCAGTATCAGCAGTGACTCTCCAGAGCCCTGAGTGGACAATTGGTGTCAGGATGACAACAGCAGCTGTTTCTCTGGAAGAAGAATTGTGGAATGATTGTCACAGAAGAATATTGTAATTTGTAGACAAGCTGACAGCTGGGCAAGAACGCATACAACAGTGGGGGAGTAGAGGCTGTGATGGAAAGCTGGGGGTTTGGTGGGTAAGAAAGGAGAAAGGAAGGAAGAAAAACGAAGGAAAAAGAAAAGGAAGAGAGGGCGGGACCTAGAGTGAAAAACGCTAAAGGGCAGGTCTCTAAGGAATCATCTATGACGAAGGTAACCAGGACTGTTGTTGTTGTTGTTAAGTATCATTGAGTCAGTTCTGACCCATATCGACCCTGTATAGGGTTTCCGAGGAGCGACTGGTGAGTTTGAACGGCCAACCTTGAGGCTCAAACTGATTTTGCAGTCCAATGCTTTAACCGACAGCGCTACATTAGGACTCCAATCAGGACTGCAGACTGGGAAAAATGAAACATAACCAGTGAATGGGAAATAAACTTCCACCATGTGGTTAAGGATGTAAGATCTGTTGGTAGCCTGCCTACATTCAGATCTTTCGTCACTTACTAACTGTGTGATCTTGGACAAGTTACTTACAACAGTAAGTACCATCTTAAGGAACCCTGGTAGTGTAGTGGGTTATGTGCTGGCCTGCTAACCACAAGGGCAACAGTTTGAATTCACCAGCTGCTCTGTGGGAGAGAGATGAGGCTTTCTGCCCCAGAAAAGATTTACAGCCTTGAAAACCCTATACAGAGTAGCTATGAGTCAGAGCCAGTTCAACGGCACATAACAACCACCACCAATATCATCATGTGAGATTGGTATGAGGATAAAATAACTTAGACCTTTTAAATTAATTAATTTTAAATTGTCAAAAAAAGAACTTAGAATATTGTCTGGCAAATAGGAAATATCAATAGATGCTAGCACCTACTGTGGTATCCTGTGATCAGCCTCTATGAGTGGTCCTGAGCTATGTAGAATGCTTAAGGCATGTTCTCTCTTTAAAGACTATCTATGAGATGGCTTACGATCATAAGGGAGCATGGTGGCTCCATATGAGAAGCACTGGACTGCGAATCACAACATCCATGATTCGAGTCCACCAGTTGCTCTGTGGGAAAAAGATGAGGCTTTCTGCTCCCACAAAGATGTAGTTTTGGAAACCCTATACATGTTCGTTATGAATCAGAACCGACTCAACCGGCACCTAACAACAACAACTATCATAAACTGCTAGCCTTGTGTTTTACAGTCCAATGCTTTCTCTATCTATCTATCTATCTTGGAAACCCTATATAGGGTCTCTATGAGTCAGAATTGATTCAACAGCATTCAACAAAAACTATACATATGTATATACATATATATATATATATATAATGGTCCTGTGAGTTAATGCTCTGGACTGCCAAGTCAGTTTGAGCCTCAAGGTCAGTGGTTCAAGCTTACCAGCTGCTCCTTGGAAACCCTATACAAGATCACGTGACTTGATGCTACTTTGGCACTTAACAACACACATATATAGTTGTTGTTTTGTTTCAGTTGCCCTCCCTAAGAGCAGTTTGTAGGGTGATTGTGGATTAAGTCAAAGACAATGACAACATTTATTCTTAGAGGTAAGTAACAAAGCCCACTGTCATCAAGTCGATTCTGACACATGGCAACCCTGTATAGAGTTTCTAAGACTGCAAATCTTTACACGAGCTGACAAATTCATTTTATTCCCATGAAGCCACAGTGGGTTTCAACTGCCAACCTGTAGCTAGCAATCCAGTGCTTATCCCACAGTGCCACCAGGGCTTCTTCTATGGATACATAGTAATTATAAAGTATGACTTCGAGTCTTCATTGAGTCTGTTTTTCATTTGTAAAATGGGGATGATTAGATAGATAGATAGATAATAAATGTGACTGCTTAGAACAATGAATGCCTGGAGCACAGTACATTTCAATAAAAGGTTGCTTAGTGTGAATCTGGTAATGGGTGTCAGGTTTGAAATATTTAGAGAGGGGGAAAAAAGGAGCGAAACCTAATTATGCTTATAGCTGCTAGTAAAGAGGTCTTGGGTATGGTTTCTTTAGCCAGATGCTGAAAAAATTAATCTTTTTGGTTACAAAGGAAATTCGCATTTCTCTTTTCCAAACCTGAACAGATTTTCAGGTTTTCCAAACCTGAACAGAAAACAGCCTGAGTTTCTAAAACAGGGGCTAGGAGTGAACTATCCTCCATGATTTTTCCTCTCTAAAGAAGAATCTAGAGAAACAGGAGCAAACGGAAGCTGGTAACAGTTTATATACATCATTGTTCTTGGTGTAGAGGTCACAGGAAACTGCTGTCCTGCAGCTCAGGATATGTATCACTAGGTGGACATCCTATTGTGGTTTTGACCACCTAAATGAGACCTCTGGCTCCCTATTTCGGGTCAGGATGAATTGGGTTGAGGATATGCTTTCTCAAAGAGCCTCCTGCGAAGAGGGTCTCTCTGTGGTCCAGATCCATTTCTAAGATTTACTTTCCCTAGATCCTAGGAATAGGAAAAGCAAGGAATTGAACAGATAGTGCTTTCTTTGGCACTTTCTCCTTAGGAATATTCGGGAAGTGTTCATTGTTGTCTATAGCAGAAAACAAACTATGAATATTTGCTTCCCACCATTCTTGGAGATTACTCCACTTCTGGAATAATACCATGGAATAGCCAAGCACCCAGACAGCAGATGACAGGGGTTAGCCCCAACCATGGCCTTCTTTATCTCCTTTTCTTTCCCATTTGTTGTGCCAGCGCTATCTTAGAAGCCCCTTGGCAGGACCCAACACTCGTATATGTCTTACAACCTCCAAGCTGTCTCCTCAACAATCATTTATTAGAATGGGGTTTTATGATACAAATTTTATAATCTCCCATGCACATTGGCACTGTTCTAATTGAAGTTGTAAGCCCATAAAATTCAAGCCCTTTGTTTTCCTGAAGGCCACAAGGTTTAAAAAGATACCATTGTCCCGCTTAACACCCACTACATTGTCACCAGGGACTGATTAAACAGAATCCTGAATTGAAACAGTGCTGATTTTGTCTAGGTCCTTTTCAGGCCTGACAATGCCCTTTTCAGTTCCCAAGACAAAAGGAGGTTTAAGGATAGAGATTCTTCTAAGATAGTCCCATCCATATGGAAGACAAGGTGGCCGGCAGCTGAGACCTAACCAGCCTACTCCCTTCCCCCTCTGCCCTCTCCTTTCTGTCCACCGCCTTAATTCCAGGTGTTAATGCTTAGCCACCCCTCAAACAGGCCCTAAGCCTACTTTCACAGAACTCACCAGGGCCTGGCTTCCTTCTCAGGACTTGATGGCCCGAAATTGCTTACTCAAAGCCCATCTCCCTGCAGTGAGCGCAGGAGAACGAGGTCATCACCTCTTCTCACCTCTTTTCCCTGAGAGGTGACGCCTGCATCGGGAGCTCTGTGGTTCTGGATACTTTGGAGAGGAGCAGTTCCAAACCCGAGAGATGGGGCACCGGATCTTCGAGCCTAATGAGGTTGACCATGGATCCCACCACAAAGTCTAGTCACAGGCCTGTCCTTAGGGGTCCTCCCTCAGCTAGCCTGTGAATTTTTCCGGTGCAGCCTTGAGGTTTAATCCTGCTCCAGTGTTTGCCTACCACCCATTGATTTTTTTCAGCACCCTGCCCGATACTCCATCCCTAGACAGGTGCTTCTGCCGCAAGAGACTGGAAATCACAGCTACCAAGTGAGGCACTCGCTTAACTGAGGATTATCAGTTCTCCGCGTGTTCTCTCTCATGGGTTTTCCATCTGATTTAGGCTGTTCTGGGTGCGGTGCTCTCAGCACCTAAACCTGAAAGCACATCTCAAAAAGATCCTTCTGGACTAGTTCATTCCCTTTTTTGGACTACTGGGTTGATTTTTGATGTCTGAAACATCAGACTCCTGGAGTTCTATTCCAGGACCAGAGACGCCTTAAGCTAACTGGGACCCTCCGGCTGCTTCTGACTTCCCCTCCGCCTCCCCTCTTTCTGCTACGCCATCCCGTCTTCCTAAAACCTTGTTGGGACTGCAATCTACCCTTAGATCAAACGCGAGTTAGACCCTAATAAAAACTGGTCAGGAGCGGCTGGTCGCTCAGAACTGTCGCCCTGGAGCCCGGCTTCCCACCTTGGGTTCCCTGCAGGCGTGCAGAGCACTCCACATATTTTATTCTCGCACCACAAAGAGGAAAAATAGTCTATTTCTTTAAAAATACGTTGCATCCCATACAAATTGCTATTTTAAAATACACAAATACTGTTCAAGCAATAAAACCTAGCCCTGGGGTCGAGGGAAGGGGAGAAAAGAGATCTTGGTCACAGTTTCATACGTGCGCCTCCGCTATGGTTAGAGAGGGCATGCCAGGGAAGGCTGGCGCTAGAGGTGTGGCACGCAGGGAGGCGGCCTGCTCCCGCCGCAGGGCGCTCCAAAGTCCTGGGTAGTCCCAGGTGCCCGCGCCCTTTGGCGGCCTCACCAGTTCCAGGAGACCAGGGCGGAGGGCGCTAAGTGCTGGTAGGTGGGAAAGAGACCTAAAGCCGAGCCGGGACCAAAGGCAGTGTAACTCGGAAGAGGGCAGGCGGCTGCGGAGGCCACGGGGGCGCCGCATTTGTCCCTGGCAGCGGCCACACCCGCCTCTCCACCGCTTGCGCACGGCTGCCCATCGCGCACCAACACAGGCACCACCACACGGCGCAGCAAGCCTGGCGCGCCGCGCAGCTCAGCGACAGCGGCAAGGTCTGGCGACCCCGCGGTAGCTGGAATACGTGAGCGCTTCAGCTTGTAACGGTGGTTCTGGAACCAGATCTTGACTTGCGTGGGCGTGAGGCGTAGAAGGCGCGCCAACTGCTCGCGTTCAGGCGCCGACAGGTAACGCTGCTGCCGAAAGCGCCGCTCCAGCTCCAGCGTCTGTGCCTTGGAGAACAACACCCGGCGCTTCTTCCTCTTATCAGCGTCTGAGCCCGGCGTCGCGGGTCTCGGGGACGTCCCCTGCGACGAGTCGGGCGGGCTGATCTCTGGGATGCTCTCATCAGAAGCTAGGAAGACGGCAAAGAAGACATGGCCTGGTGAGGCGCAGACGTCCCCGCTATGCGCCGACCACATTGGGAACCACCTGCCCGAGGATGTCCTCACTGACACACCGCTGTCCGTCAGAAGCCCTTCCATCTTTGTACCTAAATCTGAACCTCAATCTCTCCGAACTCAGTGATCTCTTTCCTACCACAACAATCATTACGAGGTTTGAGAACGCAACCCAGAGAAACCCGCCCCACCGCCCTCTTAGAACATCGTACTAGTTGCTATGCTGACAGGCGAATTTATCGCAACCTGGGTCACCAACGCTGGCCACTTCCAGGTAAACTGCACTAGTGTTCTTAGGTTTGCAAACCCGAATCCAAGGAGACTTGGATTCGCCATCTCAGATCAAAACCAGGAGAACGGGGCCGTATTTTAAATATTTAAATATTCCGATCTCTAGAAGTCCCCCAAAGCAGAAATTTAATTAACCGGCACGCGCTAGCGCTAGCGCAGGGCGCGGGGCGGGGGGGGGCGGGGGATCGACTCTCAGGCTGCATCGACCTGGAAGCACTGGATACGCGCTTGATTGGGACAGACTACCCGAATCCAAAGTGAGGAAATCTCCACCTTTGGCTGGAATTTTGACTTCCCAGTCTAGCAGGGACTAGGCTCTTGGTTCAAAGACCTCTCTCCTTCACTCCCGCCGCCTCCCTCAGCTCACTCACAGGGGTAGTGGCTGCGCTCTGGCTCCAACCAGACAGCGCAGGGGGCGAGACGCAGGGGTGTGCGCAGCTCCGGCTCCTGCCTCCGCAGGTGCTGTGCGTCCTGCTCGGGTAAATCCAGGAGGCTGCGCACCGTGAAGCTGAGGCGTCCAGTGGTGGACATGGCCTAGAAGTAGGCGGGGGCAGGGCAGCTAGGAACTGAAGGGCGGCAGGGGACGCCACTCCTACCCGTGGGCTTGGGAGGCTCTCCCCATGCGCTGGCCTCCAGGATATTAGCGCGCTTACAGCAGAATCCCTGTTTATATAAGCAGCTATCCCCACCCCAGCCTCTTTGAAAGCCGAGGTGCGGGTCTCGGGGTGTTAAGTACCTGAATGAGTGCTAAGCCAAAGCCCCCTCAAGCCCCAAAGGTGCCACCTCCGCGTGCCGCCCCGCCCAGTACCTCCCCCCCGCCCCGCCCCTCGGCGCCCAGTTACCTCCCAGAGGCGGCAGGAAGCAGCCCGGGAATTAGCGATTCTGTCTGATTAGCCCAAAGTGGGGACAGATAATGGGGATTGTTACCATTGAATAACATCTTGGGTGGCGAGCGGTGACCACCACCCGTCCGCCCCAGCCCCCAGCTTCCTCCTCCTCCTCCTAGGTTGACACAAGGCCCTGCCTGCCTGGAGAACCCAGTAGGGTGGGGCGGCATGGGTGGGTTTATGAGCACCCAGGAATTTATTCCCTGTTTGCTTTATTCCTCCAGCTTGTTTGCAGGAGAGTTCGTTTCCTTGCAAGGATCCAGAAAGTGGTTTACAAGGCGGCGTTAAACTCTGGCGCACTCCCTTTCTCTTTTTGGTTGGATCCCTCTAAGGATTCAGAGGCGAAAAGTTCCAGGCAGGTGCTGAGGCGCTGCCTCCTCTGGCTGATACTTCTGCTGCCTCCTTCGGAGTTTCAGTTTGCTGGGAACCTCCCCACACCTCTAACGTCCCAATAGTCTCAGGGGTTTGGGGGAAGGCCAGATAGAGCCCTAGTTGCAGTTTATCGCCCCAGTCCGGCAAACGGAGGGACATCAGACTAAGCTGCTCCAGTCAGAACCCCGGCTCAGTACTTCAGCCCCTCCTTGCCACTGCCTGTCACGGGCTCCGAACCTACGCCCGCACTTGGCAGATCAGGGTTCAGGTCCGCTTTAAGGCCGGGGGACGGCAGAATTCTGCATGATTGACTTCGGAAATTTGCCTCCCTGGCACCACCAGCCGCTCTGGCACATCTGTGAGCCTCGGCTTGGCCACCTTCATTTCAGGGCCTGTGCCGGGACCTTGGTCTCTTCCCTCGATGCCAACATCGACCTGACGCTAACCGCTCGCAGCACGGGTGTACCTAGTGTGAGTGCCTGGTGGAGACGGATGAGACCGATAGGGAAAATTAGGACAGGACTTATGGGGCAGTTAAGACGGCTGAGAACCCCTAAGACTCGGGTTTTCCCCAGGATCTTCTAGTCCTACAACCCCCCATCCAAGACAATGGTCAGTATAGAGGACGCTGCATGTCAGTTTAGGGTGACTGAGAGCACGCCCAGAGGCCTCTCTGCTGGAAGTCAGTGGTTAGGGTATTTGGCCTTTAGATTTCAATGAAGGCGGTGGAATTGAAGTGGCCGCACCCCAGTGGGACCCGAACAACACACGGGTCTGACTTGGGTGCAGCGGCTGTGGCCCTACCGGACCCTGAGCACCCTCAAGGGACAGCTTTCCTGTCAAGCGTGCCTAGGGCGCCCAGGCTGCGCTGCTGCCGGGGCCACTGCGCGCTGGGTGGTCGGACAGAGGCTACCCCAATACAGGCCAACTGCTAGGCGGTAGACAAAGGGGAAATGGAGCTCGACGCCCCGGACCTGTTGGAAGCATTTGTTCCAGTCAAGATTTTGCATTTGTTCAGTCCGGGAATAATGCGTGATTGACGCCAGCTCACAATGAGCTTTAGTGCGCTGGGATAAATCGGAGCTTGTCCCGTGTTGTCATGGTTTTCAATGGGGTTCAATGGGATTGGGAGCACGATCGACTCTGCTGGCCGTCTTTCCGTGCCTTGGCAATACAGATTTATTAGTTATGTCTTTTTAAATGAGATTAAATTGGAACGACTACCCTCCCAGCAGATAGGGCCGGGGAGGGAAGGAGGATGGGGAGAGGGCGGCAGGGTCCGATGTGGGAAACCTGGCACTCACTATGCCTTAGCACCCAAGCCCCCTGGCGTTATAGAGGGTGACCAGGTCACAGCCTGGCCCAGGGCCTAGTGGACTTCTCCCCAGTCAGAGATGCCTGGCAACCTCTGCCAGGGAAGAGGCAGAGGAAGGACCCTAACAAAGACAGTCCTAGGAAGCATTGGGACAGATCAAAATTCTAACTGAGCATCAGACAGAAGGAGAGCTGACTTGGGAGTGTGGGTGGGTTCACGTTCTTGTTTTGCCCCTAAGCAAACTGTAATCGGAGTCCTGGTATGGCTCTGTAGATGAATGCGCTGAACTGCAAAGTCGGTTTAAACTGCAAAGGTCAGCGGTTCAAGCTCACTAACCGCTCCTAGGAAACCCTATGGGTCGGAACCAACTCAATGGCATTTAACAACAACAAACTGTAATCACCTCACCCCGCCGAACCTCTATTTGAAATGAAAGAGAATACATTTGGTGGTTTCTAGGGACCCTATCCATTTTAGTTTTTAATCCCATACCTTTGGAAATATTCGAATACCATCTTTATTGTAACAGTGGACTCACACTTCCTCCTCCTTTGAGTTCTAGTGCCTGCATCCACAGGATTCTGACTCAAATTTCTCTAGGATGTTCTCAGAGAAGATGTGTCAGCTTTTAATTTTCGCCAGGACCCTCCACAGTCATGGGATGGACTGGATAACAATTTTGGAAAGAGAACCTAGTCAAGAGAAGCAAGAGAATCTTCCCTCCAGTGACTGACCTCTCTTAGCCTTTTAATCTATTTAACATCCTAAGCCCACACTACCATGTGGAAATAACTAAATGGCGCTCTTCAGTTCTTGAGAGCTCTTCAGCATCAAATATTTGCTTTTACTCTTAGTGTTTGGCTCCCAGAGCAGAGATACACCCCCCATCTAGCAGTTGTGCTCCAGGGAGGACTTAACTCTGGGATTAGCTCCAAATATTACTTCCAGCCTCACCTTTCTTGGTTTAGGAACACTGTTTCTGCTGCCCAGTCTGCATTTTGGCTATCCTAAAGAAACCCTTTACCTTCTAGCTCTAGAAAGCTCTGCAGTTTCTCAGTGCAGTTCTAAGCAGAACTCTTTTGCTTTCTTCCTCCTTAGATGCCTCTACAATAGCCCAGCCTTCCTCTCAGTTCTGCCTTAGGGCTTCATCTGAATTATCTCTGAGAGGTAGAGTCTAAGGACTTCAGGAAGTTGTCCCATTTAAACTGTGCCTTCTGAAGAAATAGGGGAAAGGAGGTGGAGAGCCGAAATTCTTTTTATAGGATGCTTTCTTTTTTGCCTCTTCACATTAAATAAACTTGAAGATGCTGGTTGAGAAAATTCTCCATATTAGGTCAATAGATATTTATACTCTATGTACATTTATCTTTGACTATATGAGAGATGTTTAGATTTACAAATAAACATCTAAGTGCATGTTCTTTCCAGATTCTCATATATTTGTTGGTGTTCCCTATACTTGAACTTATTTTGCAATTCACCATAACTGGTGGATATTGATATTTAATTAGATAGGTATTATTGCCCCCCACCCCCCACCCCTGCTCTAATTGGAAATGGTGCATCCCAATCCCAGTCAGTTTTTAATCTTTAGGCATCTGTTATATAGTGAGTATATAATTAAGCAGTCTGCATTAATCATTCTTTCAACCATAGCATCCAGAGGTGATCATCACTGCTGCATGCTTAAGAATTTAAAACTAGAAAATTCTGAAATAAAACTAAAGTGTCTTTGATTTTTTTAAAAATGATTGCATCTATATCTTGCATTCAGTTTTTAAATCCTTTCATTTTAGTTAAGTGTTTCACGAAAATCCTGCAAATCTATACAGTATTAAAGAGAGGTAACATTGCAAATTCCCCTTGAGGGCCCTCAACTGCCAGGACATTTTTCTCTGCCTCATAGCAACTGCTCTCCCTTCTTTCTGTAATCAGTATCTGGTTAAAATAGTGGAAGGAAAATAAAGAATGGGCTTTTGGCACTTGCAACAAGAAGTGGGTGATCTTGATGAGCCTTATGATGAGAAGAAAAGGCAGCATTTAAAATCAGATCTCTTTGTCTTTCCTTCTGAAAATTGATTGTCAAAATAAGTAAACATACCCCTTTTAATAATCAGTTGCTCCACAATGGTCCAGACCTAACTAGGATTCTTTCTTACATATATTGATGATACACACACACACACACACACAGAGTCCAGGTGTGGTGCTGTGGGTTAATGCGCTGGACTGCAAAGCCATTTGAACTGCAAGGTTGGGGGCTCAAGCTCACCAGCTGTTCCTCGGAAACCCTATACAGGGTTACTATGGGTCAGAATCAACTTGATGGCACTATAAAACAGTAAATACATATATATACACAAAGGACAAGGAACAGCTATTATACTGGAAATTTAATACATCTTTAAACGTGCTTTATATTTTTCTGTTTTACACAAAATGACAATATTTGAAAGATCTCACCTTGAAATTCTTAAAATATTTATTTTACATTTTTTTGTTGTTGTTCTTGATCTCTAGAAGGAAAGTTTTTCTTCCCCTCTGGTAGCATAGTGGGTACGAATCGGGCTGCTAATCTCAAGGCCGGCAGTTTGAAACTACCAGCTGTTCCATGGGAGAAAGATGAGGCTTTCTGCTCCTGTAAAGATTTGCAGCCTCGGAAACTGTCGGAAACGACTCCACAGCACATAACAACAACAACAATAATTATCTATAGCCTTCATTTCCTAAAAAGCTAGCAAATAACTTAAAATTTTTTATACTAGTTTATTAAATATATCTGATCATTTTCATGACTTTCAAAAAGCAAATAAGGGTAGCTGTGATGTAATGGAATATGAACTGTCAGGATAAAAATAAGATAACTTTGGGAAGGGAGTTGTCATATTTATTTGTCCATAGTCAAACTTGCTTTTAATCTAATATAAAAAATGATAAAGATACTTGTATTACAGGCC